TCCCCAGCACCAACTGGATGATTCCACTCACTCTTGCCTGCCGCAACAGTGGCCAGGGCGACGAGCGCCCCTTGCTCAGGCAGCCCATCGTCACCAGGCTGTCGGTGACCACGACGACTTTCTGGTGCCAGTTTCTCCGACAACGCGCTAGACGCCGCAGCACCATCACCACCGTCCTGCACTCCAGCCCGTTCTGGTGCTCCTCGCGATCCCAAGCCCCCGAGACCGCCAGGTGCCAGCGCTCCACGTGCGCCGCTGAGTCGGGCACGTCCTCGGCCAGCGCCAGCCCTCTCGCTCCCAGCAGCAGGGGCCAGGTCTGGCCATCAACGGCGCCCTGGGCGCCACCAGCCTCGCATACTCCTCGCGCAGCTCGTCGGGGTAAGGGCGCGCCACCTTTGTCCAGCGCCATCCCACCTTGTCCGCATACTCCGGAATGCCTTTCGGCACGCCTCCGCTCGGAGACCGATGAGGCCGCCCAATGCGCGAACAGCAGCTCGCGCGTCCATGGCATCGCCGACCGAGCGCCGTCAACTCCGCAACGTTGGTGAGCACCCTGGTCGGCTTCCTCCACTCTGTCCCGAACGTGCAGAAGTCCAGGTAGATCAGGCGCACGCCCTCCGACTCCAGCACGTCCTTCAGCGGCGGGAACACCCAGCACAACGACGAGGCGGGGTTCTCCATGCTGAAGCCCACGTCCCGCTTGATGCACTCCAGCATCACCTCCACCGCTATCATCACCAAGTATGCGCCGTTGTCCGCCTGCTCCCGCTCGCCCTCGCTGAGGCCCGAGAGGCCCCAGATCTCCGTCGCGCTCCGCAGCTTGGGCACGCGCGCCCGGGGCCGCGTGGCGCAGGGCGGGGCCGGGTGCACGAGCCAGTAGATGCCCCTGGTCAGGTCGACGAAGAGCCTTCCCAGGTTCGACGAGTCCCCTAGGTCGTAACGGGCCCCCTGCTCGATCTCCCTGGGCTCCACCCAGCTCAGGATGGCTCGCCCGATCGCCGCCGACAAGCGAGCCGAACCAGCGAACAGCTCGCAGAAGCCAGCGGCCCCTTCTCGAGCATCGCGCGCATGCTTCTCCATCGCCTGATGCTGCCAGGTCGGGGTGACGTAGTCGAGCTCGTCCTCCTCCACTGCCGAGTAGGCCTCGTGAAGCTGCGTCGACCACCCTTGCTCGTCGCCCGCCTCGCAGAGGGCCCTCATCTCGTGCACTTCCGAGCGGCTCGCCACGATGCCGAAACCGAGGTGGCTCGCGTCCGTCATGAAGATCCACTCGTGCCACTCGTACCCCAGGAAGGTCCCGTAATAGACCGACAAGGAGACCATGGCAAAGAACTCGTCGAGAACCTCGTCCCACAAAGGGGCCTCTTGCTCGCCTCGGTGCTCCTGGATCCACCTGTAGACGTGGCGATGCACATTCATGGCCCCTCTCGCGCAGGTGAAGATCCACGCCCAGAGACCCATCAGCGACTCGACCGCCGCGGGGACGGCCCGATCCTGCTTCAGCAGCGCTTCCGTAGCCAGCACCGCCACGCGGATCTTCTCCTCCACCACCTGCAAGACCTTGCTGTCCGCATCCAGGGTGACGCCCAGCGAGCGCTCGAGGCGCCGCCCGACGTCCTCCTTGTGAGCCGACAGCCCGACCGCCTCCAGGGCCCGTCGGGCCCTCGCTCCGTCCTCCTTCACCTTGAGCTCCTCCACCGCGGTGCCCTTTGGCTCGAGACGGAACCCTGCGTAGTCGTCGATGAAGATCCAGTGCGAGAGCGACTCGCGATAAAACTGGGGAGGGGGAGCGCCATGCTGCACCCTTCCTGCCGCGCCCAGCCCGCCCTCGCCCTCCATCGCGTCCTGCACCGCCCACGCGAAGCCCATGGGCAGCACCCGCAAGCAAACTCGAACTCCACCTCCGAGTTGCTCGACGAGGTCCCGCCGCCCTCGCCTCTGCAGGTGCGCCCGCAACTCCTACCCAGACACGCCCTCGAAACCGAAGTAGCCCCGCAGCCCCTCCGGCAAGAGCAGCTTGTAGAAGTCCGGCACATCCCCGACGAAGCTGGTCACCTCCAGGTCTCCACACACGCTCGAACTCAAGTCGACCCCGCACAGGGCCGCGGCCGAGCCCATGGCGACCCAGGGCGAACTCCTGAACCTCATGTTGGACCTCCTCATGTCCCAATCAGCCTCGAGCTACGCTGCCCCGTCTTCTCGTCGATCTTCTTCAGGACAGTGAACACCTTCACCTCCGCCACCACCTCGTCGCACATCCCAAGCATACCCGACTCGGCCAACCTCTCCAGCAGATCCAGCTTCACCTGCTTCTGCTTCAGGCTGGGGTCGCTGCACGGCTTGATCCTGTCGTAAGCCGCCCAGTCTACCTCGTGGTCGCCGAGCACCATCGTCTTGATCGGCTCCCTCAGGTACGGGGGACTCGACGACGACATGGTCTCGATCGGGATCGGCACCGACCCCGGCGGCGGGAGGGGCACCTCGTTGACCTTCATAGGACACATGTCGCCACGCTACGGCCCCGCGGCCGCTCCCTCCTACTCCTTCGCCTGATGCCATCCGACGGCCCGCGACGCCAGCTGCTTCAAGACTGGCGCTCCGTCGGCGAGACTTCTCCACGATGCTCGGGCCCGCCAGCGACTCCAGAGGTCTCGCACCACCTCCCTCTGAGCGGCCGAGGCCCCCCTCCACGCCGAACGAGCCCCTCTCAGAGCCTCGCCCCTCGCCCCGTCCAGCACCCCGCGGTGCATGTGCGAGATGGCGTTCACCGACCTGTTGACCCTCCTGATCGTCAGGCCAGTCTGCGCACTGGAGCTCTCCTCCCACCACCACCACCAAACCACCACCACCACCATCAAACCACCACCACCACCACCACCACAACAAACCACCCCATCACCACCACCACAGCCACCACCACCGCCACCAACACCACCACCACCACCACAACCCACCACCACCACCACCACCGTCGTCCTCGTCGACGCTCCCCGCCGCCTCCGCCCGCCGCCGCAGGCGCCGGCGCCGGCGCCGGCCCAGAAAAAAAAATTGTCGTCCCCGCCGCCGCCGGCAGCCGCCGCCGACGCAGGCGCCGGCCTGAGGAGACGGAGAGAGGAGAAGTAAGGGGGGAAGGGGGGAAGGGGTGGGGAGAGGGTTCGAGCCCCCCCCCCTCCGCCCCCCCCCCCTCCGTCACTGCAAAAGGGGGAGGAAGGGGTTCGAACCCCCCCCTCCATCCAGGGGGGGGGGGTCCGGGGGGGTCCGGTTCCAACCGCCCCCCCTTCCAAGCGACCACAGAACGCGCTCTTTCATAGATGTCGGTAGATGTTGTCCCGATGGTTGTCCCGATGGTTGCACCGATGGTTGTCCCGATGGTTGTCCCGATGGTTGCACCGATGGTTGTCCCGATGGTTGTCCCGATGGTTGTCCCGATGGTTGTCCCGATGGTTGTCCCAATGGTCGTCCCGATGGTCGTCCCGATGGTTGTCCCGATGGTTGTCCCGATGGTTGTCCCGATGGTTGTCCCGATGGTTGTCCCGATGATTTTCCTAATAATTGTCCTGATGGTTCATAGCGCGCTTCGCGCGCGCTTAGGTTCTAGCTGGTTGAGTGCCGACCGCATTGAGACAACAAGGTGGTCATGAATAAATGAGGTGAACCTGCTCTGTTTCCTCCTGCCTCTTCCTCATTCCTCCTCCTCCTCCGCTCTCATCGACCGCTCGACCGGTGATCTGTCGTCAAGCTTCTTGGGGACCTCTTGACTCTCCTGGTGGTCTCCTGGGGCGAAGATCGCGGGTTCTCGGTTCACGTTTCCGATAGTGGCCTTCGGCCCATCCCGCCACCGTGCCTGGGTTGTGGGTTAGAGAGGCTTCTTGGAATTCGTTTGGAATTCGTGGGAAACTTCCCGGGGGCCTCTTGAAGGCAATTTTGGAAGCCTCTTGAAAGCCGTGTGTGGTGCTCGCAGGGAGTCTTTTTGGGCCCCTTTGGGGCCTCGTGGGGCCTCTAGGGGGCCTCTTGGGCTCTGTTGGGGGCCTCTTGGGGCCTCCTGGAGGCCTCTTGGGGCGGAAAGCTGGAATTGTCGGTTCGTGTTCCCTCTCTTGGGCCCCTCTTGGGGTCGTCTTGGGACCCTCTTGGGCGATCTTGGGCGCCTCTTGGACCGTCTTGGGGCACTCTTGGGCCGTCTTGAGACTCTCTTGCGCCGTCGTGCCGCCCTCTTTGGGTGCCTCTTGGGCCGTCGTGAGCTGATTTCTGGGGCCTCGTGGGCTGTCTTGAACCGTCGAAAGCACGAAACAGCGAGAACGTGAACAACCTTCAAACCCTAGACAAACCTACTTGATTCGCCTCCTGAGTGCCTCGTGGGAGTCCTTTTGAGGACATCTTGGTCGTCTGGAAGCCCTCTTGGGCTGTCTTCAAGCCATGTTGGACTAATTTTGAAACGCTCTTGTGCGGTCTTGGCCTCTCTTGGAACGCTCTTGGGCCATCTTGGCGCCCTCTTGGACGTCCCTCGGCCCCCTTTGGTGTTTTTTTGCGCCCCCCTCCTCGCCCGAAACGGCCGGATGACAAATCAATGCGCGATATATATATATACACACGTATATAGTATATAATGTGTCCAAGGATAGAGCGAGAGGGAACGATACAGAGATAGAGAGGAATACGACAACAAGAGACGCATGACCAAGACACACACACACACTAGCACACAAACCATGCAACGGGGGAGGACGACGGACAACGGCATGGCAAGGCAAAACATAGATACGAGAAATAATAACAACACATATGGGCAGGACACGGAACAAGAGGGGAGGGGTGAAGGGCAAGGATACGGTTAGAGTACACAAGCGGCGGGACATGACTTCTCAGGGCAAGGAAAGGGGGAGGGGAAGGGATCCGTCGCTTCCTCCTCCTGTGCGGAAGGTGTCGACGGGGAGAGATGGACGGAGGGAGCAAGAGGACGGGAGGAAGAGCTGATTCGGAGTGCTATACTGATCACAGCGCTCCTGGGCCACGTCGCAGCTGGCGCCCAATCGCTTGGCCTGCGGCCACCGCGCCGCTGCTGTATTCGCCGTTCCCTCGCTCATCGCGCAGACCACGCAGCGCGCAACTACAAAGGCCTGAAACGTTTGACAATCCAAAGAACGGTGGGGATGAAACGCACAGGACTGTTAAGGAAAGAACCGCTGAGGGACAAGCAAAAGCTCGACTTCTGCACACTCCCGCCCACACCAACAAATGTCCGCTCCCAGCCAGGCCGTGCACCAAGCAAACTTCGCGCCGCATAGCGCTGCACGCTCCACGTCAAGGACTCTCTGGCGCCGCGCCTGCGCGCGATTCGGGTGTACGCCGTCTGCCATGGCTCGGGTCCTGGGGAACCTCCCGCTCTGGTGGACACCTGTCGCCTGACCCAACAAAACCCTCACATGCCCCCCCCCTCGATTTTCTTCCGCCTGGGCGCCTCAGAACTCTGAAGTTCACTTCTTCCGTTCTCAGCTCAACTGTGTTCGCGGGGCCCGAAAGCTACGAATCCATATTTGCACTCAAACCCAAACTTGAGGGCGCTTCTCTCACATCGCAGCGTCGCGGTCATGCCTTCCTGTCAGCGTGCGCTGAGCTCGTGCTTGTCACTGCCACCCCGCATCTTACGCACGTCGCTCACAGTGCGCACGAGCTCACCAAAGCCATTGCCGATGAGAGTGGAGGGATGAGGGGATGTAGGGGGGAGGCGGGAGGGAAGGGAATTTGGTAGGGCAGGGGTAGCGCAGTACGGAGGCCCTCGCGTAGAGCAGGGAGGGGGGCAGGATGAGGGAGGGGGGAGGGTGGGTGAGGGAGGGGAGAGGGGGAGAAAATGGAGGAAGCGGGCCGATAACGAGGGGAAGACACGGCAGGCCAGGGTCTCGCCGCGGCTGGGGGGCCTTTCGGGCGCCGGCGGGGCCCATTGGATTGACCTGCAGCCGCCGCGCCAATGGCTTGGCCTGCATCCCCCCTTGGCTGTAGCCTCCTCCTCCTCTTTCTCCTCCATCCGGCTCTTTCCTCATCCTCCATCCTCCTCCATCCTTCACCCTTCGGCTTGGATGAGCCTGCAGCCAGGGAGGTGGGCAGAGCGTTCGCCCCTTGGCTTGCCAAGTTTGAGTTTGTTTGTTCTGTGCCATGTTTGGGGTCCATCCAAAAGACCAACCTGATTTGAGGGTCGGGCCAGTCTTCGGGATCTCCAGAAGAGACCCGAGGCCCAAGGTGCCCACGTTATCTCCTCGAGGGAACCCGTGGCCAACTGGTGGGCAAACTATAGTTTTGTACTTTCGGATCTGTTGGCGTTCTTCGGGATCGCAAGCAACGTCGGTCTCAACTACTTTTTGAGCGCATCCGAGATATGGCAACGCCCACACAACATTCACCGCTATTGCCACCTAGCGCCCGCTCAGAGCAAAGAAATTTCGGAATCTTCGCTTTCTCCGAGAGGCTCGGAGACCAAGTCATCAGAACTTCCGAATCGTGTCAGACGCAAGAGTGTCAGAGCCCAGCCTGTATAACTGCATCAGGGATAAGACGGCGCTTGTGGCGGAGGTTCGGACGAGAGGAAAAAACAGCACTCCACTCCTGTTAGCACATGGCCATTGCGGCCGATTTTTTGGCACGCAAGTGGGCAGGAGACCCTTCCAATTTTCTCCGAATTCGAAGACATTGGCTCAAAGCCCAACATGGGGCTAAAGACAACCCATAGGCCTTGTCACTGCTGCTTGGATGAAACGGGTTATTTCGGCTCTGCTTGAAGAAACACCTTGTATAGATAGAAGGTCCGAGAAGGATTTCCAATGGCTGCCGCCGATTGGCCTCGAGAAGCTAGCCGAATTTTACACACTTGTAGAGGGGAAGGTGTGTTGGCCGTTGCAAGCACTGGTGACGCTGGTAGGCCTCCAAATCAAAGACGCAAGTGCCGACAGAACGATATATCTGCTTGCGTCTATTCTTTGATTTTGGGGCGTGTGCGAACCGACGCTGACTCGCTCGCGAATGAGCTGATCCGTGGGTCACGGCTCTACCAGGCATTTCAGCATTGCAAGTCGCGTTCCTCAGCTTGTTCAGAGACGCGCAGGCGGCGCAATCATATTTTCCTGATTTCCAGATGGGCAACTTGCTACGGATGTCCCAGGTTTCTGTGAACATGTGTGATGGGACATTCTTTCAGACCGTGCTATAGAACTCGGGGTTCCTTCCTGCTTTCTGACCCTGGAGCTCCAGGTCCACATGGCGGCTCAGTAACCACAACCATCCTGTGGTGTTGGGTCCTCGTTTTGACCAGACATCGGCCCGCGTCTCCTCTTCTTTCCTCGTCCTCCTCCTCTCTCCACTTCCTCCTCCGTATCCCTCCTCCTCCTCATCATCCTCCTCCCCCCCTCATCCTCGTGTCTTCCCTGCTTCTGCTCTCTGCAATACTTTCCCTCAGCATCACACCCGTCGTCATCATCATCATCATCATCATCATCATCAACATCATCATCATCATCCTCATCATCATCATCAGCATCACCACCACCGCATCATCGTCCTCCTCCTCATCATCGTCAGCATCATCGTCTTCATCATCATCATCATCATCATCATCATCATCATCATCATCATCATCATCATCATCATCATCAACATCAACATCAACATCAACATCATCATCGTGACGCTAACCCTGACCAAGAGACCTTTTGTGTGTCTTTGGCCAGGCGGGTCCAGCAGGACAGGGCGGCACCCGGGCAGAGCTCGGCTTGACAAGAACGAAGGAGGAGGGACGAACGGGCGACACAGACACACCACAGAACCACAAACACACAACAACCACAACACAACACAACACAACTGAACGAGGAGGAGAGAGAGAGAGAGAGAAGACCCCTAGACACCCCAAACAGGATTCTGGCATTTGCCGCACTCTTAAACTGCAATGGTCTGTCGGAGACGGACTAAACGATTTGAGTCGATACGGCGTTTCAGAGCCCGGGCAAAACACGAACAGAAACGATGGGGATAAGGTTCAGCAACGAGGGGGATAAGGCTCAGCAGCGCGGGTCCAAAGTTTGCCCGAACTCGGATCAAATCCTGTCAAAACTATGTGGGGTTTGGACGAGTGCCTGCATACACCACCCCGACCGTGACAAAGCACAGGGAGCTGGATTGAAAAGCTAGGAGCCCGGGCTTGCACCCTGGTCCGTTTGCGCCAACGTGCCCCGAAGCCACAGTGATCCACGGTGCACGCCTGGCTCGTCGGGTGACGCGCCAGGCGCTCGAGCGGGGGGGCCTTCCACAACCAGCTGGGCCCATGGTTCTCGAGCGCCACAGGAGTGCCAAATCGGAGGCAGCCTCGAGCCACCCGAAGACAAAAACATGTCACCAACATAGTCACGATCCAGCAACACTCCCTGATTGATCCAGTCTTCGCTCGTTCCCCGCGCTCGCGAACCCCCAGGACCAAGGCAACTCTGCTACGGTCACCGTGCACATCCTCCATGCGCAGCCGAACCCAATCTTGTTCACGTAGATATGCGTCCTCAGAAAGCATGACAGCTAAAGCCGAAAATGTCTGTCAATGTCGGATCAGCTGCAATATCACCGCGCCAATCGTCTTTGAAAAAACGGTCCGCCTTCTATCGAGAGTCCGAGCCTTTGCCGTGTCAGGAGGTCCCTCGCCGTCTCTGGCATATGCTGCTTGTGAAGCCAGAGACAAGGTGCCCTCCTTTGGCCAAAGACCCACCACGAATATTGCAAAAGTCAATGAGATAGTCGGCCATGGCTCTGTTGCGCTTCTCAAGGGTCGCGAAGGGAACGCGTTCGTACCTCATCTGGATCAGGAAGTCCCTGGCGGCGGCGAGGTAGATGTCATGCGTCTTGTCGCCGACAGCATGCACGTGCAGCCTGTTGACGCCCCCCGCAACTCGTCCCGAGGCGGGGCGGTCCAGAGCTCCAGCCCGTGCGCGGCCGCCTCGGCTCCGGAGGGGGCGAAGCGGCTTCGGCGCAGCCGCTGCCCCGAAAGCGGAACAATATCAGCGTTCCTCATCATAGCATCGCCTCCCCTTGGTGGAAGTGCTTCGCCAGGAAGCGTCGCAACGCCGTGGGGCCCCCCCTCCAACGATGCGCGGCCTCCGTTGCGTCGGCGACCCCCGCGTCGAGCTGGCGGCTGGGGCCGTCGGCGACTTTGAGCTCGCTCGGCGCATGGCGCCAGGCTGGACGAATGCGAGTAGCCAGAACAATTGCCGCTACCCGTCGACAAGGCTGCAGCGGCTGATATGCACTCGACCTTTCTCATGAACAAAAAACAACCCAGCAACTCAGCGTGGCGAGGGTGTTTGCGAAGAACAAGATGCGCGTGTCCCAGTTGTCTCGGGGCCTCGCGGCGCGCCTCGAGGCGGGCAGCGCGGCCCTGGCCCCCAGGATGTTGTCGCGCTCCTCCTGCGCCCACTTGCTGGCAAACACTAGATGCCACCTCGCAATCACCGTCCACTTCTCGCTGAGCATCGGCGCAGGCGCTGCGGAGCCTGGCGGGCCCGGCGCCGCGTCGCCCATGGGCGGCGTCGTCTCCCATCGATGGGGGGCCTGGGGCCAGCGGGCGCAGCGCCTCACGTTGCTGCCTGCGCAGCTCCCGCGGGTAGGCACAAGCGAGCGCCGTTCACAGCGCGCCCTCGCTATCCCTGCCGCGCAGCTCCTGATGCGGATACCTGTGGTTGCACCGCTTGCCAAGGGCCTTCAGCTCCTGAGTGTTTGTCAAGAAGATGGTAGGCTTCCTCCAGTCCACCCCGAAGCGGCAGTAATCCAACAAGAACTTATCGAGGCCCATGCTCTGCGCGAGCTCCACCATGGGCGGGAACTGCCGCATCATCGAGGAGGCGGGGTTCTCGAAACTGAGCAAGACCTTCTGCTTGATGCACTGCCTGGCAATCCCCAGGGCGACGAGGCACAGGCAGTTTCCCATCTCGACGAATCGCCCCGCGCGGCCTTGAAGCCCAGGAAGCCCCCAGGGATGCCGTCGATTGCGCACCTTTGGCTGACGGGCTCGGCTGAAGAGCACGGGGGGGCCCAGTGGATGCACCAATCGCACCCGCCCGTATCCGCCCGACCAGGATGGCGACCCGAGTTGGATTCGAGAGGTCGAACATTGATCCGAAGATGACGTCCCAGCTCTCGCCCCACGAAGGGTGCATCTCCCAGATGACCGACTCGAGGGCGCAAGATCCTGCAAATAGCGACAAGAAGCCTGGGCGCCGCGAACTCCGCTGACGTGCAACTTTTGAGGCCAGCGAAGCATCGGCATCTCGATGTCTTCGTGCGTCCACATCGATCTCGGCTGATCCCACGTCGTAGGTCCCTTCGAGCTTGACGTGCCACCCTCGCCGCTTTGCCCAGCGAGCCTCGGCCCTCGCCTCCGCGGGGGCGGCGGCGGCAGCGATCGCGCCATGCCCTGCGCCCGAGGCGTCCGTCCTGTAGGCCCAGCTGTTCAACTTCGCGGTGAGGTCGACGGTGGGCATCGGGGGTCGCGCCGCAAGGATGGTCAACTCGGCCCGTGCGCTGGCCCTGAGCTCGCTCACCCCCGCGTCGCCGGCCTCGTTGATAAACTGGTAAGAGCTCGCCAGAATAGCCAAGCCCACTCGCGATGGAAACAATATCCAAGCCCAGTTTCCACTTATGCACTGCATCTCGCTGGAGGTGGCCTTGCCCCGTCGGGGAAGCGTCTTCGTCGCAGCCTCTCGTTCGGCCGGAGAGGCCGAGACACCCTGGCCCAGAACGTCCTCGCGCGCTCGGAACCCAACCTTGACGATAGCTGACGTCCACCTCACCAGGGTCTGGCGGGCCTCGAACTCGGTCGGGACTGCGCGCGCGCTGCCCAGCTGCCCTACCGCGAAGTCGTCGGTGAAGAGCCAGAAGAGCGTGGTGGAGCTGTCGAACTGAGGCGTAGGAGCCCCATCCACGAGCTGGCCTCCCAGCTCGGCATCGTCGACGCCATCGTGGGCCACGTCCTGCAATGTGGTGCGCGCCAAAAACACATACCAACCCCAACCCATCGGGAGCGCCTTTAGGGCCGCATATATCGGAGTGCTGTCTACCTCCGAAGCCCACGAACGCCCCTCCTTCAGGCCCAAGTCCTGGAGCTCCTGGGGCAGTGCACCCTCGAGGGCAAACCAAGGGTGGACCCAATCGGGCGTCTCGAAGGCGTTGAAGAAATCTGGCAGATCGTCTCGGCACGCCGTGAAGATTCGGCCACCCGCGATCGTTGCTTTGCTCGATGTTGGCCATGGACACGGGGCCCCCAAGCAGGATCCACGGAGGCGTCTTCAAGAGGAGGTTGCAGCGACGCAGATCCCAAACCAGCCTGGTCCCCCTGCGCTCGCCAATTCGTTTCTTGAGTACTGTGAGGACTGAAATCTTCTCGCGCATCGCACGCATCGTCGGCGCCCCCGAATCCCAGAGCCGAAACGCCAGGTCGAGGAGTGTCTTCTTGTCCATCAGTTCGGGCGACATGATGGCCGTGGTGTTGTCGCACTTCGCCCAGTCGGCCTTCTCGTCGTCCTCCATCACGCCCTTCGGGGTCGCGAGGAATTCCGCCGCCGCGGGGGGGGCGCCGACGCCAACTGGACCGGCTTCGCCCCTCGAGGCGGTGGACTGACCTCCGACGAGCAGCGCGGACACGCGCCCCCCGGCTGGAGCTCTCCTTCGTCGACCTCTGCGCCGCCGCCGCCCGCCTTCCAGTGGGCCGAGCGGGTCAGCTGCAGAAAAAACAACTTCCTCTGACTGTTCCTCCTCGACGGCAATCCAACGGCATTTCTCCGCCCAGATATGCTTCGCGAGGTCCCCCGACATCGCGGGAGCCGTCGCCCGCGAGACCTGGGCCCGCACATGGCGAGGCATAGGCATTAACGCGAGCTCCAACTTCCCCTGGCATAGCCCGCCGAGCGAGGGGGCGGCCTGATTCGCGCGCTCCAAGGAGGGCGCCTCGTTGGTCGCGTGCTTCGGCCTCTCCAGTCCGCGCGGCCACTCCAGAGGCGACGCGAGGAGCGGCAGGTTCGCCGCTGGGCCCCGAGAATTCCCGTCGGATAAGCGTCCGACCAGGGAGGAAGCGGAACTCGATGTCATGAGGTGGATGGCGCTGACAATCACAAAATTCACAAAGCCCAGCCGCCGCGAAGACCAGCCGGCTGAGCGCGCGGCGCCACGCTCGAGCGCGGGCCCCCCGACCTCGGGAGGCTGGTGAAGGAGCAGAGTGGGAGGCTGGTCGAGTCGCCACCCGCCCCCTCGCGGGGCCCGTCCTGGACCTTCGACAAGTACTTGTTGAACGGCGCCTTCTCCAGCCTGGGCCGCGCCTCCTCGTCGACCCCGGGCATCGTCAACTCGTTTTCGTCCAGCGCGCGCGCGTCGCACTGGTCGCAGAGCTCCCGCTGGACCTTGGACTTCCATTTTGAACCCTGTTGCCCGCGAGATTGTTCCCAGTCTGCCTGCCGATGTGTGCTCTGGAAAGCCAACTGCAGCCCGCGCATCCGGCGGCGCAGGATCTCGCAGGCAGCACTGTTGATGATATCCTCCTTCTGGTTCGTGATCATCTTGTCCAGGATCATCGCGGGCAGTAGGAACTCCTGGGCAGCGTGGCAAGTGTCGAGCTCCTTCTCTGAGATCCACGACCGCGCCGCCCCCTACGGACTCCTGCGCCGCCTTCCCGTTCTTGTAGAGCTGGGCCAAGCGAGGGGCCGCGATCCTCGCCTTCGCGCCGCCAAGGATCCAACCGTCGATGTCCCGATGCTTGTGCAAATGGTCCGGCAGCTCGCTCCGGGGGCCCCTCGTCTCTTGCTCGATGACCTGGATGAGCCCCAGAACTTTCGAGGCACCCCCGGAGCCAGCCGCGCTCGACAGCCTCGCGGGCCCAGCGTGCAGCAGCGCCCCAAGCAAATCGGTATCCCTGCTCCCCCTGGTCGCGACGTCGGTCCTCGCGATCCCCTCGCGCTCCTTGAGGCGGTCCAACAGCGAGGAGATCCCGCCGCTGAGCTCGCTGCTTCCCCGAGGAGAGCCAAGGGGCACAGCGCCCCCCGCGGACGAGCTGCTCGTCGCGGTCGCGGTCCGCGGGGAGTCGTAGCGAGGCACTTGCTTTAGCTGTGCGATCTCCCTGGCCAGATCCGGCTGCGACTGAACCGGCGACCCCAACGAATCCTGCATCTGGACCCCCCCCCCGACCACCGTGACCGCGCGGCCGAACTCCTTCTCTGACTGGTCCGAGTCCGAGTCTCCGCCGACGATCGACCGCCGAGCTTGCCTGCGCGACCTCCAGACGCGCCCGATGCTCCCGATTACGAAGAGCCCGCAAGCGATCAGGGGCATGAACTCAAGGTCGAGCTCCGCAAAGCACTCGGCCACTTCGTCCCAGCGCTCGTTCACGTACTCGGTGACCTCGACCACTTCCTGCGCCGTGGAGTAGACTGCCCTCGACGCGGCCCAGATCTTCAAGCGCTTCCCGATGACGTAGCTGGCCCAAGAAGCGCCACCCCAGTATCCCAAGGTACCCCACGAGACGAATGCCCCAACCAGGTTGACCGCCGTCGACAGGTAAGGGATAGTATCCTTACGTGTCTTTCCCTTGGCGGTGGTCGTAGTCGTCGCCATTGTCGCCTGATTGTTTCTCTTCCGCACCACCGACCTTGACTGCTTCTCGATCTGTATCAAATCTGACGTCGAGAACCCTGGCACATCAGAGTAGTCGATCTCGCTCTTGGGGTTCGGGTGGGTCTCCGTCCGATCTCGAACATTCGCAACTTGGGCTCGCTTCCGAGGGTCTGTTGCCGCCCAGCGGGGATCGTCGGCCTCCTGGGGGAACGCCCGCCCCACTAACCACTCCACGGCCACGGCCGCCAGCTGGGGCAGGCTTGCTTACATGGTAGACCCTGCGCCAATTCTGGAAAGGCATGCCAGACTCGTCCAACCGAGCACTCTCCAGGTCCGACTCGGAACAATGGTGCCCGTCGTGTTGCTCAGTCGGATCGTCGCTAAGCTTGGGGGGATCTGGCGCAACATTGACCTCGAAGTCTGAGTAGTACAACGAGGTTTCCTCTTCAGACGCGTTCCTGTCCGCAGCGCCGTTCTCGCCAAGTGCCGCGAACTCCTTCGCCGAGACAAGGCCGCCCAGCAGGCCCGCGGCCCACCGTGGGAGCGCCGTGGCCTCCTGTGATGTGGGAAAATATGGACCCCGCTGATATCGATCAACCCCTTGAACAACTTGAGCAAGGATATAGCATCAGACGGGGGAGGGGGGGGCAGGGGCCACGATGAAAACCAATCGACGATCATCTATTCGGCGGGCTTATTGAAGGACCAGGGCCCCGCCAGTAGGAGGTAACTATTTTTTTTTCCGCGGCGCCCGCCGCGCGACAGCGATGACTGCAGCTACGACTACCACGAGGAGGGGGGGGGGGGCAGGAGGAAGAGGAGGGGGAGGATGATAAGAAGGAGGTTTTAGGACAAGTCCCATTCACCCCCGAGAGGAAAGGGGGCAGATAAATAATGACAACCTTTCGATATTAGTGACGCTGCGGACCTAGGCCGGGCCGCTCTCCACGCCCCCTGCCGCGCGGTAGCCGCAGGACCACCCCCGCCCCACGGCGCAATGCATGCGCGGGGCCACTGAGCAAGTCCTCAACAAACTTTCGAATGTAAAACGCGCGTCGAGGCCCTGGGGAACACCAGGCCTCTGGTTGACCCTAAGTCAGCCACTGCATGTTCAAACGCGCAACTTGCAGAGTGGCTCCTAGCCATCTTTAGGCAGAACGGCATTCCCATTCTATTGGCGGTTCTGGGGTGGCAACCCCGAACATGGGTGGCCCCAAACGGGTCAAGTTATCCCTACCAGGCCTCCATAATGGCCCAAGAGGGTGTCAAGTCACGCCGAAGATCGTTCTGTGGCGTCCAGCATTACCTCGAGACAGCCAAACAGACCCCCAAGAAGCTTCTAGAGCCCGAATCGTTGTGAGAGTATCTAGATTCTTAACATATTCGTACTTTGGGCCTGCGCTCCGTGCAGCTTAATGGATGTTTGAAGGCCCCGTTCCACTAGGGCTTGTTCAGGGGATTGATGCTGGTGATGTTGATGCTGGTAAAGAGCTCCATGAACGGCCATGACCTCTACAATTCGCATACTTTGGCGCGCCAGAAAGAATGCGGACGCATAGCTACACGAGCCGCGCGGAAGTTGGAGGGGGAGCGCCCAAGATGTTTGACTCACGATGGCAATCAACAGCTGAGGAAGTCGCAGAAAGGCCAGCGCCCAAGCTTTTCCGAACTTGTCAAGTTCCAGACCAAGAACAATCTTTTAGCAGAAACCGTTCAACTCTGCCTGAGGATGGAAAGAACAAGCCCTCTTTTCTTCCATCCGTACTACTTTGTCCTATGTGTCATTTTCCACCGCAGCCAGCCGATAAGGGGCCCAATCCGGGGCCCTCCATCCTACGTGTAAAAAACCATCTGGAGTCGGCGAGAATTGTCCCAACATGGATATCATTTCGCCCATGTTGCAAACTCTGCGGCAGGAGCAGGGCGGGGCGCGCGCCCCGCGCCAAAGGCCGAAATGCTGCTCTCGCCTCGGCGCCTCCCTCATTATTCTAAAGAATTCAATGATCGCTGCTATTTCTGGCTCCAGATAGCTCGGGCCATTTTGGCTCAATCCATTTCAACCCAAGGTTGCGTCTTGCCGTTTCAGTGGCGGGGCGGGCTGGGTAGGCGGGCGCCCCTCCTCCCCCCCCACCCGCGCACGCACGCGCGCGCGCCCCTTGCCCTGGGGCTGGCGCTGGCTGGTCGCCATGGGCGGGGTATCTCCAAATCCAAGAATGTCTGGGGTTCGCTAGCTGGTCAGGTCTGCGTGGAGGCCTCGGGGGGCGAGCGCCGCCCACGCCTCCCCAGAAAAATGCTGCTTCGGCACGCTTGTCGCGTTAGGCAAGAGACTTGGGGCGCAGGTGCAAGGTCGCGGGGCGACGGGGAGCTGCAACGTGCAGGTGGCAGTCGGGCCAGTCCCCCTTGCCGCTCCTGGCCCCTCTCCCCCCCCGGCCCCCCCCTCGCCCTCTCTGCCACCCATTGCCCTTCCTCTCCTGCCCCGCCCCCCCTTCCTCATGAGCAATGATTCTTCGGGCCGCTTGGCGTCGGCCTTAGAAGGACTTCGTCTTCTTCTTTTGCATCATGCTATTATTCCCTCTGATCGTGTTGCTCTGTTGTGCTGTTGTGATTGCACCAACAATGAAAAACGGATCACCCGTTCACTGGCGATGGGACGAATAGGTTGCTTTGAATACATGCATGCCATGTTCGTTGTTGTCCGATTTCATGTATCGACGGCCCCGAATTAAAGACGCAATGATGGGCGGCTGTCTGCTGTGTTTATGCGTGCGCTTCTGTGTCACAGATGTCCTTTAATGTGCGTCGCGGCCGGGCAGTCGCGCGTGTCTTGTGCGTGCGTGCGTGCGCGTGCGCGCGTTTTCGTTGGCGCTTCCATGCGCGTCGGCCCTTGACGACGAGTTGGCCCTGGACCCGTCGATGCGTGAGAGCGCGACGGGGCCGCCGACGTGCAGTCTTTGAATGTAACTGAGTAGCATCACCCTGCGATGCGGCCCCGCGGGATTGGTCGTAACCAGCGGCGGCGGACGGACCGAGGCTGCCTGTTTTCGCGTTGCGCTGACTTGCAGTGCGCGCGCTGCATTGTGTTGCTTGACGCTGTTTACTTTGTCTGTGTGACGCTATCATGATTCGCCGCCGACGTGCCCTTGTTCGCGGTGGCGGACGAGCCGAGGATGCCTGCTCTTGCATTGCGCCTCGCTTATGTCACCAATATGTGGTCACCAGCTGGGCTTCGCTTGCGCAGATCTCAACGCTTCCCCGCGCGATCGCTTGGCTTTCTGCGTCACGCTTGCGCTGCGGAGACTCCGTGACCATCTGCATGTGCCCCGCCATTTGTCTGCGCATCCCAAACTGTCACGCGTCGCAGCCGTGATGCGGCTCCTTTGGTACTGTCGTGGTGCGCGAGTTACCTCTCCATGTTGCGTCCTGTCCACTACGTTTCTTACTATTTTATTGTCGGCCGTTGGGCCCCACCAGTATGCGCCCCCTCGTTTGCCGCGACCTCGCAATTTCTGGCCGCAGTGGTAAGCAGGCGTGGCGGGGTCGAATTCCCGATCGAGACGGCGGCGGCTCCGCGACAAATCGCGGCGCCTGGACAGGAAGCGCCGGCGCCATTCGAGGGGGCAGGTGCGCGACAGATGTAGGATTGAAGAAATGGGCGCGTCGCCGACGCCCCCAGCCAGCCCTAGTGTTGTAGCACGGGCGCTCAGCGACAGTCTGGCCTGCCAATTGAGCGCCTTGATAAGAGACGCCGATTGGGTCAAGGCCGCGGCCCTGGTAGGCAGCCCAACCGCGGCGCGTTCGCCTTTCGATGCGCCCTTTGACGTTCCGCCCCCGCCGTCGTTGCCCCCGTCTGCCAAGACAGCGCTGGGCGCGGGCCCCCCGCTAGACCCGCCGCCGGGCTAGTGGCTAGCATAGTCGCCGCCGCGCGTGCGTTTGCCTCCAACCGTTCCTGTTTCCCCTGGTCCTCCGTCGGGTTCGCCCCCCCCCTTCCGCCTGGTTGGGAGCAGCGTTGGGCGGCCAATGGCGCGCTTTACTACCGGAACCAAGCGACCGGCCAGACGCGCCCGGGCCACCCGAGCACTACGGGGCCGCAACATAGCGCGGCGGAGCCACCGACCTCGCCCTCCGAGCGGCCCGTAGCTGTGGAAGATGGCGTCTCGCGCGTCAAAGTACATATGGATGCCGTTCAAGCGTCGCCTCCGCCATGGGAGAAATTTGCCTCACCAGCCACTGGCGCAACTCTGTGGCTGAGCAAAAGTGCCGGGTTGCGTAGCGCACGAAGAACCGCCGGAGGCCGCCGCTCGGGTGGCCCAGGTGGCCGAACTTAGCCTGGAGCTTGACCGCGCGCGCATCGCCGGTCGCCCCGCGCCCGCTCCGCCTGCGCCAGGGGGCGCTGCAGCACCCGGGGTGGGCGCCAGCGCGGGTGGGCAGCTTCGCTCTTGCACCCCGCAGCCGAAATCTCCGTCCGTCCCCGCCAGCCCATTGGCGACAGCGCGGGTGCCGCTTGCGGATCCCGTCGAGACGGCCACGGCCAAAACCGCAGTGATGGCCCTCAGACGCTGCAGTAGCAAATCGGAGCTCAACGCTGCAGTGGTCGCGCGGCGCGACCGTGCGCGCCAGCTACAAGGCGACTCCGCAAATTGGCGCGCGCAGATGCGAGCAACTTCCGCGGCGAATTCCATGGCCGGGCGGATCTTGGCAAAATTGTTCGGAGAATGGGAGTTCAGATCGTTGCTGCTCCTGGTAGGAATCAACAAAATTATTGCCCCCCCCCCCCCCCCTCGGCGCGCTGTCTCCAATGGGGCACTGGGCAGCCGGGGCTCGACATAACGTGGGGACTTTCACCTGGTGTCGAGCTATCTTTGCAAATCGTTGGCAAGCGGCATGGCAAGGTCGTTGCAAAGGGGCGACTCGCCGCCTTTGGGTCGCACTTCGGGTAGGTTGCTCCTCTCTCTAGGCGAGCCAATCGACGTTGAGTGGGCGGCTGTACCATTTCCGCCACGAGCGCTGGGTGGCGCCAGAGGTATAGCATTCGAGCCGCGGGAGCTGCTCGATTGAACTTTCGTCGCGGCGCGGCGTCGGCAGGGGTCGCAGGCTCGGGGTGCCCTGTCGACCCCCTGCAGGAGCCGTTAAGGCTTCACCTTTCCCAGCGCCGTTGGCCGAGGGTCGCGCGGCTTTTAAACCCTATCCTTTCTTGATGCGACGCTTCTGGGGTCGGCGGCCTGGGGGCGTGAAGCGGCCTGAAAAGGGTC